TTAATGCTTTAGAAAATGAAATTGGTAACGAAGGTGTTTTACAAATATTCTACAATATATCGAAAAACAAACAAATAATACAATATGATTTGCTTAATAAGCTAATTGAAATTTTTAATCCAAATCGTAATCAATTCACTTTAATTGGTGTCTTTGAAAATGTAGCAAAGAATAATCAAACATTATTTGATGAACTTTTAAATAGATTAGGAATGGCTTTAAGTAGAGAAGAAATTGAAGATAAAGTGCTTTCAATATTTGTATATTTGGTACAAAAGAGTGAAAAGTTATGGGAAAATATAATTAAGAAAAATTGAATAGAATTTTACTTGAAGAAGACATTATGTTGAAAGAAGAATTTTTGAGCACACTAGGATCGTTGATTCAAACTCAGAAAACAGACATTAAACTATACAAAGAAAAAATAGAGGAAATATTAATAAATGAGCTCAATTCGGATAATACTAATTTACAAAAGATATGCATTAATGTATTATTAGTTGAATTTGTACAAGTTAATTCAAGTCTATTCAATGAAGTAATAACAATTGGTACAAGTTTATATTGTGATAAAACAATAAAAAACGAAATTCATTATTTCGAAAATTATTGAATGAAAAATAACGAAATTATTCATTATTTACATTTATGGAACAAGATAATAGTGAAGTGATAAGAATATATAAAGCAAAAATTGAATTGGCTAACTTAGATTATAGATCGAATCGTGAACTATTGAATAAATTAAATGTATATACGAGTCATGAAGATGATTTATTAGAACCAAATTACAATCAATTAAAATATGTAATTGATCAAGATTTTGAATTATAGGAAAAGGCTTTAGAAATTTTGCATTTATCTAAATCGAAAATCAAAATGACTGATGATCTTATTCTAATTCATTATCATTTGCTGTGAGTATTAATACATTTTCCAACATATTCTTCTTCTGATGCCGAACCTTAGCTAATTTATTCCAACCATCATCTATGATCCTACAGAAATAAAAATAAATTAATTTAAAGAACGAGTCTTCAAAGTTTCAAAATTTTTCTCCTCAGTGCAGCGTCTCAATATTTTTATCTTTTCTAGAATACTGCAAGTCCATGAACCTCCAAGCTCTTTTCATATGTATTTTGAAGTGTCCTCTACAGTGTGGTTCAGTTTGAACCAAATCTAATTAACTTCAACTTTAGCTGCTTTTTTACTATTTATCAGCAAAACTGATCATGTATACTCGCGACTACAAGAACGATATCTGTAGCGGCGAGCTGAAACTATTTGAAAACTTACAGCACGCTTTTGCTTGTTGTGCAAATGCAGATCGTCGATCTAATTCAAAGAGCGCCATATGTTTTGGATAACGATTTATTGGAAAATGAAAATCAGGAAAATCAATTGTATTTAATGCTGATGTTTTGATACTGAAAAGACAACAGACAAATAAGACTTTTGTCGAAGGTGTATGAAAGTTACATTTACATTGTACCAAATTTCAATGCAAAAACATTATGCATTATATTTTCTGTTTGATGATTAGTGTCTTGACTTATGTAATAAGCAAGTAATAAATCTTTTCCTTTGGCTGAATTTATTAATGTGACCAAAACACGTTTGGCATCCGTTGGATAAAAATCTGTGCATGGTAAACGCATTTTAACACCTTGAATATATAAAGAAAATCTAGTGTATAAATTTTATATTCTATCATGTTTTTCCACCATAGTAGCTTGTGAGAATAGAGTTTTTGATGATTTATTTCCACGAACATATTGATTACAAATATTAAATGCCACATTACGATAGATGACCGGATCAAATGCTTTTGCTGTACGGAACGGGAATACTCAATTTGATATCCTCATTGAAAAAGAACAAAAATAAACAAATAAAAATAAAGTATACTATATTATTAATATAAGTATCTCACTACAACGTCTTGATTGATTTCGTACATTTCTAAAGAAGAGGGCGAGGGTGAGGGGGGCCTCCCCATAAATACCGATACCTACTCCTACCTACCCAGGTATGAGTAGGTATGGGTAGGTGTGAGTAGGTATGGATAGGTACGAGTAAGTATATGGGCAGGTATGGGCAGGTATGGGTAGGTATGAGTATTTATGGATAGGCCTCAAATGAAATGTCGTTTGGTTACTCACTCTCATGCTACCATACCCCCTCCGATCTCCCACAAGTCTGCATTTCCATGCTCAGTTTGCTTGGTGGGATTAGTAAGTACGAATAAGTACGGGTAGGTGTGGGTAGGAGTACATATGGCTAAATGTGGGTAGGTATCTAAATTTTAGCTTGCAGCAACTTTATCAAATTTGAGGTTGCGGCCACGCCAAAGTATCCATCCTGTGCTTGGAAAACAATTCAGTTCGATGAGAAATATTTTGGAAGCAAGAACTGGATGGAATTCAAAAGGTTTCAGGTCCTCAAAAAATCCTTTGAATGCAAACTCAAAAATCCTTGCAAAATCTTTGAGTTAAAATCCGGCTCCCTGTTTGGGAGGATTAAATCGAAAGATGATCTAAGTTTTTGCATAATGATCTATAGCAACTCAGCTTTAAGAAGGCTGTACCGGTGAGGTTTTAAGATGAGGGTGGGGGTTGGATAAACGGATGTAGATAAAACTTGTAGAATTAAAGTAAATTTCTAGGATGTCTTTAAGAATAATCATCATACAATCAATGAAAAATAATTTCAAGAACATGGTATAGAAGCGCGAAAATGCACAAGTTTTGTACTTGCAGAGTAAGTGTAAAACAGAATGGTCTGACAGACTCTATAAAAATATTTTACTTACCTTTTCTTTAGACCAGATAAGCCTATTAATTAATTCTCTGTGTTATTGTAATCGTTTAAAAGAAGATCATCCTCCTGACAATACTCTGCAAAAAAAAATGGGATATTAACGTACATATAACACCATTTGCAAGTAAAGAATATGGAAACTTTGCTACTGGTGCTTGGGTAAACTTTCTTCTTTTCTTTTTTTTCTCAAAAATACTTAACTTTTTTTTTTTAATATTTACGATGTGATTTACAAACCGATCTAAAAAATTTAGAAAAAATCTTATTTGATGTGTGTGGGATAACAGAACCTCAGCTAATTATGTCAATAACTGGTGATACTAAATATTTTAAACTAACTGAAAGACTAGAAACAAAATTTATTAATGGAATTATAACTGTAGCACTAAACTCAAGTAACAAATTCATATCATACATTTATGATTTCTACCTGTGATTTTGTTGATGTTATATTTAGAGGCTTGGTTACTAACAAACGGATGTAACGTTGGCATTACTCAGTTCGTTGGACGAGCAATTAATAAAAGTCGTTTGACAAGAGTGGATGATAAAATTATTACTATTGGTTTAACAAAATATGGTTGCATTAAAAATATTAAAGAATTAGAAAAACATCAACCCATTGATGCAGATGTATGTGCTGATCAGGGTGACACTTTCTCTTTACTACCTCTTTTTTTATTAACAAAAGAAAAGGTCTTCTTTTTCTTTACCACAAACAAAAGTAACGATTTCAAAGCAAAGTTTTTTGTGAAACAAAATTAGAAAGGTCGAAATATAGTCGAAGTAATGTCGAATCCGATGGCATATAAAATCTTGGTTTCATCTCTTAATAGAAAATACTAGCTAGGTTTGCAAAATGATTCAGTGGCACCTTCGACCGTTTGTCGATTAACACACCCAAACTCCATTTCATCTTCTCGAAATCTTAAACAGCTCTTTCGATTCACTTTTTAAGGCTCAATTCGAACAAAACCTTTCAAAAACAATCCTAATGTCCTGAAATTGAACACTTTTTTGAAAATTAAGCGTTTTTCGACAATGAGTTTTGTTCGAACCTTTCCAGTTTTCTTCCACAAAAAAGTTTTCTGAAATGCTAAAAGCACATTTTCCTAACCGTCTCGATGCAATCTGTCCAATCATGTGTAAATAAACGAAAAGTAAAATCCTACCGAAACTATGAACTGAGGGAGCCCTAACATTGTCAGATCATATATTTCGCATTTCTAATATTTGACGAGAAAAGATTTATGGCGTCATTGTGAGATGCCAGGTCACAATTAGCGTCTTGAGCACGTCTTCTCAGTTTTGATTTACTGTTTGCTCTTGAGGCAATGCGAACGGTGTTTCATTTGAGATCTCGGTCATTCGTTAGTCTTGAATGCATACGATTCATATCTCAATTCGAGATACTATTCTATTAAGAGTCCTATGTGCTCCTTATCAAGATCCAGTAGAATCCTAATAGGGTTGAACAAGAGCTTGATAGGAAAGAATGGAAGTTAAGTATGATCCTTCCTCAGTCTTACTAGGATTTAATCCGGGAAAATTCAGTTATTTGATAGTTCGTATGCAACGACGCTTTACTACATTGCTCATTTCTCATTGTAGACTTATTGTGGACACAACTGCTGGAGAAAGCCGTCAAACAGAGAAGAATGCCAGATCGTCATTTTAACAGGTACTGGCACTTACCGATAATCTCTCGTCTCGTTTGTTCCCTGATCAAAAAGTCAATAACATTCAACGTAAAAAGTCGTTTTTCGATATATGCCGAAAAATAAATAGAAAGGAAATTATTGTCGAACTCTAAGCACCAGGTCACTCACCCATAGAGCGCACTGAATTTCACTTACACTATCAAACAAATACACTCATTTTTATAGTCTCTGCTTCAACAGTTTATTCAACGCCTCACTCGTCCAATCTTCGAGTTCCCTACCATTCTCTTTCTTTTTTAATTAAAAAGGATGCGTATAAGAAGCTTAAAGCAAATCGTAGGCTTTTCCCATCTTAAGGATTTACTAGGTTTTAATAGACTTCTAAACAAACACCAGCTCACTCTCGGTAGACGTAGCGATTGGCGACGATCCTGTGAATTTTGACTACTGGATATATGCATCGTTCTGAGCCGTCTAAAACACGAGTGTATTTTCAGGTATGACTGCATTAAAATAAATAGAAAGGAATCTTTAATTCATAAAAACGCTCAAATAACTAACCCTAGTCTGTAAATCTTTATTTCTGTTTGGGCATAAACCGGACAAGAAATTTTTGGCATCGCTATCCGGTTCTCTACTCAACAAACTTTAGTTTTTCCTGCTTGAGAATTGTTTTGAACAATCCAACCAAATTAACAAAAAGGCCTTTCTTAACCACTAATAATTTTCAAGACAAAAGAATCTTTTGCTGACCTGTTAAAGCATACTTATAAAAGATCCTGCCATTATCTAAATGAGAGAGCGAAGAAAGATATTCGACATTTTGTTCCAAACAGCTTTCTTCAGGAGAAAATGCACAATACGCAACCAATAATTTCTTCTACTAGTGTTAGATCATGTTTTACAGGAAAATATTTAATAATTCGAGATGATAAACATGAACTGTTATATGAGGATGATGATGATGTATTAGATCAATATTATTGCCTTGAAATTTATAGAGTGATGGAGAACAATATTATATTATATTATTATCAAATGTACAACAATTTTTGCTTATAAATCGAAAGAAATAGATACTGAAAGTCTATGTCAGACAATATATCAATAATCGAAAATTTTTCAAAATTACAATATTTAATTATTATATATGAAAACAGACATTGTAAAATCATTGTTGATCATCATCACATTGAAAAATTAATAGAAAAAAATTGCAGCCTGGCATATAAAAATAAATACAATCTTCATTATGTTCAAAGAGACAATCGTTGTTTAGAATGTTTGATTGATTAATCGTAGTTACGTCAACACAAACGTGAGCACGTAAAACTTAAGCGTTACCTGTTCTTGCTTACTTGAAATGTAATTTTTGTAAAGCCATATAACACTTATATTTGAAAAGAAATGGAAAACTTGTACCAAAATTACAACATCGAGGGAAAACGACTCAATAATATTTTAAAAACTTAACTAAAAACTTTGATGGGTGCGCTTTTTGAAGGGTTTGGTGAGGGTGTAGGTGGAATTATTTCACCCTCACCCTTACAAAACCCTTTTCAGAAAGCTTTTTTGAGAAAAGAACAAAAAACCTGTTCTTTGTTACTTTACCAAGAGTAACAGAGTAACACACATGTATTACTTTCTTACTAGTAATAAGTAACGCAGTTGTTAGTTGTTACTTCAAAAATTGCAAAGTTCCCGATAAAAATTTATGTTTTCAATTAAACGTTTGACCAATGCAAACTTTACTCTTTACTTTCTTTTGCGGGTCCATCTGTCCTGATTATCAACATAATAAGATACAACAATGACAGCCTACCATGATTATTCATTGTATCTTATCTTGACCTTAAAGTTTAAGTCCTGCTTAGAATTGGACAAAGATGCCTATTAAAAGGCATCCTTCCAGTAAGGGTTCTGCGAATTGCAGATAAGCGTTACTTGTAGATTTTGCTTGCAAATTTGTAAATAATCAATTGATTTTAACGGACAAAACGGAACTGAGAATTTGCCAACCCGATAGTTTTGGGGTAAATGATGATATAGTGATGATAGCAAATTTATCGAAAAACAAAATGTACAAAATAAATAAAAAAAAACAAATGATTACCTGTTATTATAATTGTATCATGTCCTTACCTTGTTTACATATATTCTTTTATATGAAACATATTGACCAATTTACGTTAAATGATGCTACGATAGCTCAACGATGGATGCGACATTCCGACACCACTTACATTTTATTTGACCCGATTCAACAAACTGGTACAACAACAAATAACACAAATAATTCTGATGAAGCAACCGACGATCAGTCAGATTTTGATGATGACAACAATGAAATGAATACAAATGATACCCGTATTATCCTGACTGTTGGCGATAAAAGTTATCTAGTGTGAACACCTTTACTTCTATCAATGGATATTTAACCCAGTTAGGGAAGCATGAATTTTTCGAACGTCTGGAAGAGTTGAAGAAAATTCATTCATTTTGGATCAGTGGACAAAAGCATCTATGCTTGAGAAACACATAAACGAGGAAAATTAAACTATTCGCGCTCGAACCATTCACACAAATCAAGCTCTGGTTACAGCAAAACCTTACAACTATAGCAAATAGAGCCACATAACAATAATGTCTGATCACAGCCAAAATTGGAAAAAAGAGGTATAATCAGTTTCAAAATCGAATGTCCGCGATGCAGATGTTTTATTTTCCATACTTCTTAATATAGATAGACAATAAGAGATGTGATTCTCACTAATCGACAGAGGAGATCTACCTTCACATTTCAATGAAAACACAAATCTAAAATATCATATGACGCTGGTTGAATACATTCGTCTTTTTCAAGTAGAATTCAACGAACTCTGTCGATCGATTGATAGAATCGCTTCTGGAAAATAATAGTACAAAACAAAGTTTCGGATCGAAAATACTCATTTGTTTTATCAAGTAAAAAGCTTAAAATTTCGTATGTCTAGCTTAACAAGTTTTGCTAGAGAACAAAAATTCCTTTAGAGTCATCTGCCATTTAGATCCAAAGTTGACTCATGAAAAAGCAAAATTTCTTGACCCGAATCCAACTCGTTTCGATCTGTAATGTCTATTTGGGGTGATAAGTGCAGTAACAACAAAAAATAATAGAACGACGAGTGAAATAAAAAAAATCAAGATGTAATTGAACAAAATCCAATAAAACTGATGTTCAATGTTTAGATGATAAAAGTAATAAAATGAAACTTTATTAGAGAAAAGCAACTGTTTTTGTTCTGTTTCACGGATTTTACAAATAAATGATTATTACACGAGCCATAGTCGCCGCATGGAAAACATTTTTAATACTGGATTAATGTGAAAAGTAAACAATATAAACCAGCATTTATCAGCAAATTTGATTGCTTTCTGTCAGCAGTATTATAATGCCACTCTGGACGAGGACGATTGTTTATGTTGTTATAATTATTCCATCCGCTCAGCACCATATTATATGGATTATTCGCATCATAATTAATATTTGCATGTTGCCAAGAATTTAAACTACCATCAGGAATATTTGATTGATAACGATAAGGATTGTAATTTGATGCATCAGGCCATCCATAACCAGCTCCATAAATAACTTGACGACGAATACGTAAAGTACCGACCTCGGCTAAAAAACAAAAGATGCTGAGAAATAAATACAAAATATATATTCTTACCTTGGTTTTTATGAAACTAGACAATGCTGAATTCTTTCACGTTAACAGAGAGATAGAGAGAGAAAATCGAGCATCTATTGTACTATACTATCTTTCTTAAAATATAAAATGTATGAATAAAAACCTGCGGTTTGCAGCATTTTGCAGACAGAACGTAACTGCATTGATCCCTGACAAAATAAAGTTTCTATGTGAGATACTAACCATGATGCAACTTGTCGATTTTTGAATGACAAAGCTGGAATCTCACAAATAGTCTGTGTAAAAAAAGAGTCTCCACATTTGCTTGAAAAAAAAGAGGAGGTGTATGGTTTTTGTTCTTTAAAACGCCAACAAACACCCACATACAAGAGCGAGAAGCCGATAAAATTAACACATTATTGATCTGTGTGTTCAATGATGACTCGAAAGAGTGAAAAAGTAAAAGAGATTTTCGATCGTTCATATATATTTTTTATAATTCCTAATGTGTACAGTAAAAAATTTGTAAAACTGCCCCGAGGTCATGCGAGTTTTCTATGATCCGACCTGAACCGAGATGGCCTCTGATGTGTTCACAAAAACAAATTAAATAACGAGTCATCAAAATTAATCAATATTAATCGATTCTTGTCACGAACAAGTATAATTTTTGTGAAGAAATAGGACAGAAAGGCCAAAAAGAGGATTTTTAAAAAAGCGGAAAAAGCAGCGGAGAAATGCCAGAAAAGAAGGTCGCCAAAGTATGAAATATCAAACAATTTTAAACTCTGTAAGATAATATCTAAATACAGTCCTGTTCGCGATTATAGGGACAGGGAAAACTAGCTATCATCTAACAATCCCTAATAAATTCGGAAAGAAAAACTTTGCGAGAATGTGTGTTGAAGCAAGTCTGTCCAAAATGTTACTCAAATTAAAATTTGTGAAAATTTTCAATGACATTTTGGGTAGAACACGCTTTCAATACAGATTCTCAGAGCGTCTTTCTTTCCCAGATTATTAGGGCTTGTCAAATGATACTTTTGTAAGTATCGTCCCTATAATTTTCATCAGGACTGTAGTCCGATCCGATCTCTTTCGTCTACACTTCTAGGAAAGCCCCATGCCTTTATCTTGTATCAATCGATCTTTATGGAAGATTCTGAGACACCGATTATCGGATCGTCCCGACGTCTGATCACTTCATAGTTGAACGAAAGGATGTGTGATAAACACGCTTACCAGATCTCCTGATTTGACTAGGATTTACGCTTTTTCCGTCGTGCTTTGTCATTGAGAAAGTTCATATTTTCTAGATCAAAATTCTGCCGGTAGGTACTTTTAATGCTCGTTTAATGGCGATTCTAATGTAGTGCAAAAATCGGCTCCATCTTTTAAAAGAAAACATTAGACTGTTTGCAAAATTGTTTCTGAACTTTTTATAGGGTGAATCCAAAATGAATATATTCACCGGTGAATAAATTCACCGATGGGAATTTTGACGGGTTCCCTAAGCGTAGAGAATGAAACCTTTTATATTTAACTGAATGCTTGAAAATAAAATAAAAGTTATTAACAAGGGACGAGGGATGATAAGAGCCAAAATCGGTTCATGCTCAAATCAGTCGTATGTTAACTCATCTGATGCAGCTTTTTCTGGGATTAACGCTAACATATTTTTAGACTATAAAAATCCTTTTCAGCGCCCCTAAAAACATTTTAGCAAAAAAACTCTTCACGCGTTAAATGACCTTTGCTCAAGTGTCAAACATTATTCCACCTCTTTCGTCTACAGTAAATATTAACTATTATACATCGTTCAATAGAGAATTTCACGGGCTACCAAACGATGTATAAGACAGTTGTTTGTTGTATAAGACAATGTTTGTTTTCAGTAGATACCTCCATTTAAGTACCACCCAAAACGTCACAACCATTATCAGGTCAATTATAAACCTGACAGAGATTTAATTTGTTCACAACTATTAATAGTAACAGTGATAACAATAGTCGAACACTCTGGAATAAAATATTTTTTAATCTCAAATATTTTAATTTCGGTGAAAAATGTCTAGTAGAGAACAATGACAGTCATTATTTATTATTTGTCTAACAATAACAGTGGGGAAGATAAAACGATTTATGTGTCAATATCAACAAAAGAATTTTATTTGGAGATTGAGCATTTATAGTTAAAGGGAAAACCAGGTGAAAAAGAAGAAATCACGAGATGAAACAAAATATTCCGTGTTGTGTCACCGGTGAATAAATTCACCGATGCGAATTTTGACGGCTTCCCTTAATCGAAATATATAGTTCAGATAGTTGTAATGAAATTTTGCTCAGCAAAGGAGCGTTGAAGCCTAAACGTTATATAGAATCCCATAATTTTATATGATCAAAACTCATTGCATTACTAAGGATGAGTATGAACATGTTCAAATTTTCAAACTGTTTCTTTTTGAAAAAACCTTTTTAATAGAGAACTGAACGAAAAACATTTTTAAACTACTTGGCTAGGCTGTAGGTTTTCCTAGTGTCGTACATACATTCGACTCAGTTAGACATCAGCCATAATCATCAGTAAAGTTTCCTACAAAATGGCGAAAACATAACCCTCTATTCTCGCAATCTTCGAAAACAATCAAGGCGGCTGCCATTATTTTCTCGACAGTAAGTTACTTTAGTTAGTGTTATTTGATAAATCTGTATCTCAAACAAAAATTACGAGTGAACTTCACCTGCATTGAAGAGTGTGATTGATGTCCTCTCAAAACAGAAGTATAGTAACTTAGTTGATCTGTGTCCCTTTCTTTGTATTTGTGTAGTAAATGAATACACAAAACATTCCGAAAGATATGGACTGTAGATAGGAAAAAATGACAGATATCTTTACTTTTTCATGTGATAAGAGATTTGGTTCAAAGTAAATCACATATGTTCATTTCGTTGCTTCTTTGTTATTGAATTAATGGACCTTGTACAAAACATAGACAAGTTAAATTCCTCAAAGCTACACACTCTACCAAAGTTTTTTCTCATTTATAGTGACGGCATCCACTTTTGTATTGCTCACAGTATGCACTTAGTACAACAAATATACTACAGAGTCAAGCTTTTGCAGTTTTTAATGGCAAATAGTAAATTTAATTAATTAAAATAAATGATTCCATATAATTGTTAGATAAATCAAGTATTTATCATCTTTTTCGTCTTTCTCAACTTTGTCGATTCTAAAACTTGTACCTGCTTTCAATAATACTTCTTCTTCATCCGGATAATGTGATAATAAACTTACGAGGGAAGGTCCCCAACTGTCCGATCGCTTTCGAGCCGAAACCTAGTGGACTATAGGTAGTCGACCATGCTGATTCCGAATATCAATATGAGACGTGCTGCTAGGCCTCCAGAGAGTGGTCTTCTGGAAAACCAGTTTTTCAGAAACTCTAAAAAATAACCAAAACCTTTCTTAATGATGCATGATTGTAGTCCCAAAATTTTTGATTAAAATGAGACCTCTCCCAGCTCTACATGACCTTTCTTTGCAAAGTTATAGAATTTACAAGAAAAGCCCTAAATTAATTTCTTCTTAT